TTGCTGAATTTGTGCTGCAATTTCCCCTGCTGAGAGGGCAGAGGGATACCAGAGATGGACATTCAAGCATTCTTCCCAAAGGAGTCTAATGAAAGGTCAAAACAAAAAAAGTTTGCAGAAACCATCAGGAAGTTTAGCCAATACAACAAGCCAGCACATAAGACACCAGGTTTCTATTCACCCAAAGCAGTAAGATAAAAGGAGATAAAAGAAGTGCTCTCATTCAAGTGATCCATGAAAATCTATGCAACAGTTAGATGCTGTACTCATACATGTCTGTCTCTTCCTTATTAAGAGTCCTAATGAGGTCTAATGCTCCAGCTGCTGATGAATAAAAGCAAGTTATGAGAGTGAAATAACAGACTAAGCCATACAAATTATCTGCACACCATTAGAGAATTGCTGCATAAGCTGTTTAAGCACATTAAAAAAAAAACTCTCCCACTTACTCAGCAGAATTACTTCCTTAGAACTCTCTCCTTCATGTATTTCTTCTTCATTTCTACTAATCTTTTCTATTTTAAATAAACAAGTTGATATTAATTTGTTAATTCAGACAGCAAGAACAGGCCTTAATATAAGGCCTTTTAATAAATGAACGTTTTAAGATTTATTTTAAACACATCACATGTTAAATTAAGAAAAGCCTTTTTTGAAAAATCATACACATATAATTTAATATTGTTCTGAATTCAAAATATTTGCAACTTGAATATCTACTGTGGAGTTATTTCCAGAATGACATAGCTCACTGCTGTCATTAATCAATCTTCCCACATGTACAGACTTTGGTATATCTTAAAGATGTCACAGTTTATTAATAAACCAAATGTCTCATGAGCAGCACAGAAAGAGCAATCACACAAAAACTTCATAACACCTAATGATGACCTTGCTGTCAAGTCAGCAGGTGACAGAGACTAAGAAACTGCAGCTACTAAAAATATAAGGTTAGTGGTTCTGTTTCCAGCAAATACCTAAACCTAACCTATTAAAAGCTGGACATACGCTATTTCAAAATGCCCTGCATTTCTTCTCAGAAATTGTGTAAGCACAAATTAAATAACTGATATTTAAATTAAGAATATTCTCCACATCAGACTTCATAAATTAAAAGACTACTGAAAATTATTAGGCCACATCTTGCACACACTACAGTGACTAAACTACCTTAAGCAGGTTTAGCAAACTACAAGGTTCTAAAGCTTAATGAGAGAAATGGCAGTGTTGAGTAGGCCGTTAGAAGCAAAATGAGCAGAAAAGATTTCAAGCATGGGAAAAAAGCAAGTTCCTTTCTGCAGTTTTCAGACAAATATAAAGAGGAAAAAAAAAAGTTAATGTCCTTCAGCCCAGTCTGTCTCACTTTAGTATTTTCTAGTTCCTCCATCGATGTTGCTAGCACACTCACCTAGCCTCTTCCTTCACCGAATACTTCAAGGGGCCTATTAGCAAAACTCAAATTTTCAAAATCTTGTTAGTTGTATTGTCACCACATCATTCTCCCTTGCTCATTTTCCATCTTTGTCTACCACTTGGAACAGCTGTTTAGGCCCTAAACCATACAGTAAGACTTCACTCTTAGATAGTAACTGGTTATACAATTACCCCAAAAGATTAAATTTGAACTTAAAATAAAGGCCATGGAAAAAAAAAAAAACCACCTCCTAACTCTAAGATACTGCAACACAGCAGAAATGACATGTCATATCATGCTGAGAATGGATTTTAAAAAAAATCACAGGAAAATCAAAGCAAATTAAGTAATGTAGATCAAGCATACAAGCTAATATTTTGAAACGGTTCCTTCAACTTCCTACAAAATCAAGTAAACTAGAATGTTTACTCAATATTTGCAGAAAATAAATATGCCCTAGGTGGACATTTGCGGAAAACACATTTTCATGAATTTTGATGCAACTTTTCATAGTGTCTCAAACTAAACTTATATAATCTTTTACTAAAATACTGATTTTTAGCCATGTGGGCCTAGATACCCTAAAAGATCCCGTGTTCTAGCAAGATAAAGTATATGTGACAGGCTACAAATGTTCCCAAAGATCAGATACAGCATTTTCATTGCAAGTTTGAATGACATCAGATGGATAGAAATAAATCATTCTCCCGAGAAGACATTCTCACCCAGGCATCATTTTATTTTTCCTTCAAGCAATCAAAAGTGCAGACTTGCTTAAGATAAAACTTCAATTAGAATTAATCAGACTTTAGATGTAACCTCCTGACCTCTGGGTTACAGGGTTATTAAGAAAAATGTATGCTAAACCAACTACCTCTGCCTCCTCATTTCTTCGCAGAACAGGAGATTTTTCCTTCAAGGAGAATTACTTCCTGAGAGCTTTCTGTTCACAGGAGATTTTCACAGATTTTCAACACCGGTTTTGCAAGAGAACCTATATGTTCTCAAATTAAAAGACTCCCTAAAATTCACTGGTGTTTCAACAACAACTCTATATCAGGAGATACTTGACCCCAAAGAGCTAAATACACCCCATAGCAGGTACAGCCAAAAAAGGCAGAGGTAAGAAATTGCAGCTCAAATATGCGTTACAGCACAAACAAATAGGTGAAGTCATACACCCACACTTGCATCTGTTGCAATAACCACCAAAATGAAAGAAAACACAGGGAAGTGACACACTGCCGCTCTCTTTTGGGCTTGGCCATACAGCTTCTCTTCAGAGAAGAGGATTCCTGTAGTCTTCACCTCCCTGCACAGTTTCCCAGTGAGAAGCAAGGTAATTTTTCCTCTTGAAAGCCACCCCTTCAGAGGAGGAAGGGCTGGTCAAATTAGCTGTTATAGCAAAGAGTACAAAGATTATGTAATTTAAGAGTTCTATGTGTATGCTTAGACAAGTTTCATAAAATCACTTGTCACTGTTGCCTGGACTGCAGTATCTTCCCCCTTCTTCCCACTCGAGAGAACCCTGCTTTCCATTCTTCAAGGATAAGTCAGTAGCAACTGCTCCCCAGCCTCAGACAACATCTCAGAAAGCGATGACCAGTGCCAGCTCTGATTATCAAGAGCGTAACCTTTTAATGAAGTCTCTTCTTTTTTTTTTTTTCTTGTAAAATTCTGACTTTTGTTCTTATGGACCACACTAGTCCAGTACAATGAGCAGGAAGTCATTCTGACCCCTCGATCCCACACACTCTTCCATACTAACCTTCAGGTGTTTATCCCAGGAAGAAACTTATTTGATCCACTACTTTCAGTTAAACCAAGCTGACAAAGCCATACAGGAAAACCCAAAAAAACCCAGTATCATTATTTACAAGTATCCAGAAACTTTGGAGTTGAAAAAAAAACCAAACCACCAAACCAAACCAGAAACCCTAAACCCTTAAGTGACAGATGTGGAACTTCTGTTGTAAACAGCAGACTAAGCATATTTTGAGCTTAATCTTGCCAGTTTGCAAAACAATTCTAGGCCTAAATTAAAGAAAAATTATTCCTGGAACAATACTACATGAAACAAAGAAGCATGAAAAAAAAATTTACAAAAATTTTCATTGCAACCTCCAAGTTACAGTAATTCATGTTACATTTTAAAAAAAGTATTTTTTCATTCACTCATCTAACTATACATAGAATTTAAGGCCAGTAAAGCTGTTAGGTCTTAAATTCAACGGAGAACAAAAGTTATTGAAAGTATTCACTGTCTAGAGTTTAACAAATGTCTAATAACCATCTGTATGAGGCTCACTTAAAAATGGCCAACTGTAAAAAGGCTTCCAATACCTAGAGGAAGCCATTTTATTTTTAATATCAAACCATATTAAGAATTTATAGAATGCAATACTATCATGAAGGGTAAGATACATACTGTAAGTTATTTTAAGCATCTGAAGATAGTTCAGATTATTCCGTACTCTTTCCTGGAAGCTTGTCTGTGTGTATCCACCCATAGAAATACACACGTGTGCGTGTGTGCAAATATACATACACACACATACAGACACATACATATGCACACCTCTTTTTTTCTTATATTTGAGTTCAGCAAGAAAGGATCTGAACAGCATAAAGCCAGTAAAGCTTTGTGAGATTTCTAAAGGCTTTCCACAACTGCAATTGCACAGCGTGGGTACGCCAGCAGGCACCGCAAGCTTGTCAAAATCTGTCCAGTTATTTCAGTGTACCACACCCCTCTTACTCCAACTACCTAGCCAGTGACAAAGCAATTAACAAGTAACCCCAAATTATTTTAAATAAATACTTAAATCCTTAACTAGCCCCATTCTGAAGCAAGCAGTGCACTTTCAGATATTGCAATTCCACCCCCTCAAGCCTAAATGCAATACATCTGACGCACAAATGCGTCATTAACCTGGGGGGTACAAAGAAGACAGTCTCACTTTAAAGCCTGTTTTCTTTGCATCACGCAACACCTAAAAAAAGCCTTTGAGAGCAAAGCAGGTTCAGAAGACAGCTATTACTTCCTTTAACCATTTTTTTCTTCTAGAATGCTCCTGTATCCCTTTCAGTAAGTTAAACAGAAATAGAATAGTTTCAGAGAGGAAAAGGAACAAAAAAAAAACAAAAACCACTCAAATCCATCGGAAAAAAATAAACCTTAAAGCCTGGGTTACTGTTTTTTCCAACAATGCATTCCTTAGTTTTTCCAAATAACGCAGTCATCTGTTGTTCTTCAATTGAAGTGCCAAATACATTCCAAGAGTATGTTTAGAAAAATCTTAACAGCAGACAATCTTCTATAACAATTCTGTTTATGGAGTGCGAAGTCTTCAGAGCTATCAATACAAACCTAAATGATATAAATGAATATGAATTCTAAGCTTTAACATTACAGCTGCATGCACACGTGTATTACATGTCACATACATGCACTAACATCCTAGAATATCAGCACAAGGTATATTCATGTCTGTACCTAGTAGATATTAAACAAACATGGTATTCTGTTTTTACTTTAGTTTTCAATTAGCAGATAAAATTATTAATGAAACAAGTTTGTATTTACCAGGGATGAATGAATCAATATTCCTGAATCTTCATTTGGCAAGCTGAATGCTGTGTATTCAAGGGCATTGTTTTCCCCTTGCTGTTTGCAAATATAACCACAGTTTCTCTCAAAAACTGTGCGAATGCCTTTAAACAGAACCACGCTTGTAGTGCAACCCATTCCCAATCTGTCGAATTTTGCATTTCTAGCAGCCCCGATTGCATTTGCAGAATGTCGTCTTCCTTTGCTCGACTCGAATAATTTTCCTGTGCTTTGCAGAAGTATTTCTTTGTACAGTCTTCATTACATCCGACATTTAGTATGTTTCTTGACTAGAAACCATCAGCTACTGAAATGTAATCCTATTTGCTTAAGCCAAACACTGCCAAAAATCCAGCCGCAGAAGACAAAAATCAGAGGGTGATGAAAAGCAAAGGATACCTCAACTGTAGAAGGTAGGAGGCTTTCAGCATGTGCTATACTCCGCAACAGAGATGAAAAGATATTCCAGAGGGTCAGGGAAAG